GTTTTTTAAATCCGTCCTTAGACTTTAATACTGCAATACTTAAATTCATAAATCGTACATTAAAACTTGCGCATAACGCATTATAATATGTTTTTAAAACTGATGTCTAAATAAATTTGTTTTTAATATATTTTTATCTAAATAATCGATTTGTGGCTTCCAAGATATTAATAATAACAACGTAATTTGAGGGGCTATTTGGCTCTTACTGAATGATTTAATGTAGCATGATTAAGTAGTTAGAATAATTAAGATACTTCCATGATATAATGTAAAATAAAATATAATTATTTGGTAATTGCTTACAATAAAATTAGGACGCTGAATGGTTAAGAGAGACCCAAAATATAAAATTATTCAGAGAGTTTTAGAATCATTAAGAGATAATTTTTTTTTACCAAACAAGACTCACCTCTCAATAGTTCAGAGACTGTCTTTTAATGATTCAGTCTAATTACATGTCACTTTTTTCATATTCCAACATAATTTAATAATTTTTATTCCAACATAACATAATGAATTTTTGCAAAAATTCTATTTGTATAAAATATTAATTTATGTATAATATCACCACGTTTTTTAATTAGAAAAATAAATATTATCCCTGCGATCACCAACTATCTCCCACCCATTCTCTCTCATATATATATATATATATATATAAATATATATATATATATAATAGACTTGGGATCATGTGAGACCAATGATTTTTCGTGAGACCCGTAATACCAATTTCCAACCATTGAATTAGATCTACAATCGTCAGATCTGAACATAAACGCCACAAGAATTCTCAATAATTACAAAATTGCTACCGTGCAACTTTAGACTATTAGATCATTAACTTATAAAGGTAATCAATGAACATAAATTGGTCTTACGGGTCTCACGGAAAACCTTTGGTCTCACATGAACCCAACCCTATATATATATATATATATATATATATATATATATATATAGATATCGTTTGTTTACTTCTTATTAATTTTATCAAGAAACAATCTCTTTAATAATTTTAAAATCCTTTGAATGATTTTGTTTAAATTTCATCTTCAATTTTTTTTTATAAACACAAAGTATATAAAAACACCAAAAATTAAGCTGAAAATTAAGAAATCCAGTAAAAGTGTGACTCAAACCTGATATTTTGTATAAAGATTAACAATATTTTTCCAACTGCACCACTGATGTCTTTGTTCAGATAGTTTAGTTTTAAAAAAATATAAAGGACATACAACACAACAGTACGCTAACACCTTCATAAACGATTCTTTTTCCAATGCAACCATGAAGTAGTGGCGCGTATCATCGTGGATGTAGGTCCACCGTGACACAACGTGTGCACCAGATGCTCGTTGTTGTTAATATACATGTTTAATTGGAAATTGACCAAAATAACTAATCTTTTCAACCAAATTCACTTTTTAGTCATTTTTGGAACCAAATTCCCATTTTAGTTAGAGTTTAAGCAAATATCTTACGTATTTTCGTAAAACCTATTTTTAAATTAAAAAAAGAAAAAAATTTACACAAATACTTCACACAAATGCATTTTCATAAATTCTGATTAAAATAAAATTTTAATTAAAAAATGATTAAAAAGGTGAATTTTGTTGAAACGGAGACTATTTTAGATAATTTATCTTTAATTAATTAATTATTTTAAATATTATTATAATAAAAAATATTTTTTAATAAGTTATTGCTAGACAAAAGCAATAATGCAACACTTTATTTTATTTTACAGAGTAAATTACAATTTTAGTCCTTATAGTTTGTTAATAATTTGGTTTTCGTCCATATAATTTAGAATTTATCATATTTTTATTTGTAGATTAATATATATATACTATTTTATTAAACAAATTTAGCAAAAGTCTTAAAATACTAAATGACCAAGATACCCTTTAGTTATTTTTTCACCCCCTTCTCCCCTCAAATACACTCACCCTCTCACAACCGATTTTTTTAAAATTATAATTATAATTTTAAATTTACATTTTATATTCTTATAATTAGTTAATTAATTTACTTTACGTCATTTACTTTTAAATATTTCATTTTAAACCTTTATCAAATTAACATACATAATCGTATATCAATTAAAACATGTTTAAAAAATATATTTTTATTTTAACAAATTACACCATTATAATCGTCTCGTTAATACCTTCGAAATGAGTTCAATATTGAATAGTTTTTGACTTAATTATATTACTATATATTATATACTGTAAAAAAATATTTTTAATATTTAATATTTACTATTTATACTTTTATAGTTATTTATATATTATACTATATATTTTGGGGTTAGGCTGTCCAAATTGCACTGTATAATATGTTCTGAATTAATATGTTCTTGGGTTTTTTTGAAATATATGTATATATACATGTATTAATTCAACCTTAATATGAGTTTCTGGACAAGAAAGAGGGTAAGCAGTTGCAATTTCATTCTAAAATCCATCTTTTTGGTTTTTTCATGGCTTATGATCTGTCAAATTTGTAGTTTTCTTTATTAGTTTTGAGTGTTTATCTTAAAACTCAAGTTTCTTGGTTCTTTGCTCTTTGTGTAAATCGAACACATTTGTGGAGTTGTTTAAATATGTTGGATTTTAAATATATTGGATTTTAAACTATCATACAATTTTTTTATCGATAGTCTGTAATTGGAACCATAAATTTTATTTATTCAAATTGTATTAATATGTAAAGACCAAGTGTAGCCTATATCATAATTAAATCTTATCTTATAAAACCAGTGGAACTTCAAAATCATTAAAATTCATGGCTCCTGCCGCATTGCGCTGATACACAACTAGTTTTAAAGTGATCAAACAGTAAATAACCGTAAATTATAAAGACCAAAATAATAATAATTGTAAATTATAAAGGGCTGTTTAGATTTTTCGTTTGAAACAACTTATGTTTTCTACTTATTAACTTATTATAAGTCAGAAGGGTTTAACTTCTTCACAAATTTCTTATTACCATTTTGATACCGGTATAAGTTATTTATCCAAACACTCAAAATGCTTATTACCAATGTCAAACCAAAATAAGTCAATAAATTGTTTTTGTAAACATTACCAAACACTCCCTAAAAATAAAATAAGAATAAAATTTAAATTATAACTAAAATCACACTTTACTGTATTTATAGGGGTATTCTAACCCCACCCTCTGCTACCCCAAAATCCCCACCACCTCCTACACTAAAGACAAAAGTTAAATATTTTCATTTTTAACCTTTTAATATTTTAACTTTTAACCTTAATTTTTTTATATTTTAACTTTTAACCCTTTACCTTTTTAACATGTTTTATATTATTATTAATTAATAATACATATTAATGAAATATTAATAATACACATTAATAAAATATTAATAATACATATTTCAAATATAAATTAAATTTATTAATTAAAACTTTGATTTTTCATGTTAAATCAACATAGTAAGAGTACGCTCTATATATTCTTCATATGCACTGAATCTATGTTGAAAGGGACAATCCATGTACTTGCATCTTCAAAACGATAACGAGTCCAATGGTGCGTAAGTGTGGGCATTGAATATTCTCCATTTAATACCACCTTTATGTAATGGTTACCATCAACATGCACTATTGCATTTCCCGTATGTCTACCATTTAACGTGGATAAGATGTGTCGTGGCTTGACATGTTGGGCTGATAGATCTTCAACTAGTTGAGCTTCAGTTTCATTTAGCCGCGATGCATATGCATGACCCTCCATATATTKTGCAAGAACATGATTATGTGCATCGCATACCACCGTCAACATCCACCAACTATGTTTAGCTCCGCCGTGTTCACACATAAACACAACTTTATAAACATTTCCATTTGGCTTTGCCTTTGATCTTTTTGTAACAACAACACAACTAACTGAACGCCCCACATTGTGCACCCACTCGGTTATTTCTTCCCGAGAATTGAACATCTGGAAAAAAAAAATTATAACTTTCATTTGTACAAGTAAGTATTAATAAATCTAAATATAAATTAACATAATATTGTACCTCGTTGGTGAAAAATTCTGGTGTTGTTATCAAATCTTCTCCCATATTTGATGTATATTGAAGAATGAGAGAGTTATATATTGAAGAAGAATGAGAGAGTTATATAAGAGAGTTATATATTGAAGAAGAATGAGAGAGTTATATAAGAGAGTTATATATTGAAGAAAAATGAGAGAGTTATATAAGAAAGTGAAATCGAATGAACGATTAATTCGTTCGTTCGATATATATATATCGATTTTTTTTACTTTATTTCAAATCAATAACTTTACTTTATTTCAAATCAATAACTTTATTTTATTTCAAATCAATAACTTTACTTTATTTCAAATCAATAACTTTACTTTATTTCAAATCAATAACTTTACTTTATTTCAAATCAAATTATTTTTACAATTATGTAAACGAGTACACATGTTAAAACGTATTTTCCTAACGTATTTTGTACTTAATGTCGATATTATTGTTCATAATGTAACATGTTACTTGATATATATAAGAGCTAATTTAACGTGACATGCTAAAACGTATTTTAGTTAATATAAAATTATGTATTTTTATGTGATAATGATGTAAAACAAAAATTGAAAAAACAAATGACATATCATAAATTAAATAAATAACTATAAATGTAAATATTAAAAATATTTTTTCATAGTATATAATATATATAATGATATAATTAAGTCAAAAAATATTCAATATTGGACTTATTTCGAAAGTATTGACGTGACGATTATAATAGTGTAACTTGTTAAAATTAAAACGTATTTTTTTAACATATTTTAATTGATATACGATTATGTATGTTAATTTGATCAGGGTATAAAATGAAAATTTTAAAAGAAAAGGGTATAAAATAAATTAATTAACTAATTATAAGGATATAAAGTATAAATTTAAATTTTTTATATTAAAATCGTGTAAGTGTGTGAGTGTGCAAATCATGTATTTATATATGAAGATCTGCTTTATAGTGGACTAAAATTTGTTAAAAGAGTGGTGAGAAGAGAGACAATTTTTGAGGGTTGAGCTCTTCATCAATGGCGTTTTCTTCAAGCTCTTGGCATTTTACAAGCTTATTCGTGATTTTTCAGCTATTATGGAGTGGTAACTTGTATGCTAATGGATGTTATACGTCCATTATCAGCTTCGGCGACTCCCTAGCTGACACTGGTAATCTTAAACAACTGGCATCCATAACCAATCGGGTCTTTCCAGTTCTTTTGCCGCCTTATGGAGAAAACTTTTATGATCAATCCACCGGTCGTTGCTCCAATGGCCGTCTCATCATCGACTTCCTAGGTAACTACTCTCTCTCCTCTATGGTGTTCAATGTCGTCGATTCTGTTTGGTTATATATGTTTGATCCCCTGGAAGCACTGACTGAAGTAAACTGGTAGATTTGAAGCAATTTGGACCTAGATCGGATCGAATTGCGACGAAATAGAAACAATTTTGACTGGTTTTGTGCGATTTTTAGTGATCTGTGGTTTGGAAGCCCACATGTGAAGCATAAATAAATCATATTCTGGTTATATCGGATTTTGATATTAATACTATGATCATGATGTTCAATTCTGAATTTAGGTTTTCGTACCAAAGTCACTGCTACTGCTATTGTTCATCTAAATTCAACCAAAACTATTAAGCTTGACGCATTTGTGACATTGACGCATCATTTCATTCATGAGATAAAATTAAAACACTCAACCTTATCGCGTTCTTCAGATCTTCTTCATGGTACCAATTGTGCATTAAATTCTCTTAAACTTTGTAGCACCTTATCGTTTCTTTTTTCTTTCAAGTTTTCAATTCAAATCTACTTCTTTTCCGTATAATCTAGAATTTAGTACCTCTTATTTTGTTCATTTATTTATTTTTGTAGTTGCTAAAAGGAGGTTTAGATTGAACCTTTTAATGTTGCATTCTTTCTGGGACTGAAATAGTACATATTCAACCCGATTGGTTTGAGCTTGAGCTCCAAAAGGTCAAAAGTGTCTGGAGGGCCCAGGTTTAAATCCAAGAAGGAATGAAAATCCACTGTGGCCGGTTCAAATGCGACTCTGGGCGACCCACAAAGCTGATGGTTGCTCTGGGATTGGTCGGCTCACATAACGAGTTGAATATCTATGTTAATTAAAAAAACAGTACATATTCATTATGAATGACAATTCTTTTTCTTGGTTTCTGAAGCTGAGAGTCTTCGGTTGCCATTGATACCACCGTATGTGATCGATAAGGGAAGTGAGAATATGGTGGAGTTGGGACACGGAGTGAATTTTGCGGTGGCAGGTGCGACTGCATTGGACTCATCATTTCTTGAACCAAGAGGGATTCTTAATACCATGACAAATGCATCTTTACAAGTTCAATTGTCATGGTTTAAAAAATCTTTGCGATCTATTTGCGGCAACGCTTCAGGTAACTAAGTTTGCATATATCTTTCTAAAATTTATAAGGATGCGAGGTTATACATGTCTAAAACAAGATCACCAAGTAAAAGGGTTAAAATGGTAATTTTTTATCATTCTAGAAAATTATTTTCCGTTCTCACTTATACAGGTTCTCTTAATCGTTATGACAGTTTAACATTCTGAACCAAGTAATTCAACATATAGCAAACAACCCCTAGTGTCTTTATTAGTCCAACGACTACGGACACATAATTTGATCTATCTTTCTACTTTTAGTAACTACGATTTTTCTTAATTTTGTAGTAAAAAAATCAATATAAATGGTTGTGAAACACTCCTCTTAAATGTTGATTGATTACAATTATTGGCAGATTGTAGAAACTTAATTCGAAGTTCTTTGATCTTAATGGGAGAGATTGGTGGAAACGATTACAATTATCCAATACTAGAGGGAAAACCCGTCAGCGAGATCGAACCATATGTTCCTTTTGTTATTGACGCCATCGTGTCAGCAGTCGATGTAAGAAGCTACTTAAATCATGGGTGCATCGTTCATCTCACCTGCAAACCCCACTTCTGGGTGGGATATACCAGACTGGTTTGATTTACTGGATTTGCTTGGTTTGGTTTTCTAAATACAGGAGTTGATTGAGATGGGGGCTCAAACACTAGTTGTTCCAGGAAACCTACCAATTGGATGCTCTTCGGCTTATTTGACGATATGTGGTTCTGAAAAGGAAGAGTATGATAACACAACCGGTTGCCTCATCCGGCTAAATAAGTTTGCCGAATACCACAACGAACTGCTTCAAACAAAACTAAATCAAATTCGAGAGCTACATCCTGATGTCATCGTCATCTATGCAGATTACTACAATGCTGCACTGCAAATCTACCGTTCTCCAGATAAATTTGGTATGTAACATGTGACTATGACACAATCACTATATGGCATGGGTTCATTTTGAAACTAATGCATTAGATCCCATCAGAACTCCATTAGTTAAGTATGTTAGGACGTGAGTAGTACTAGGATGAGTGACCGGGGAAATGTGTTGCAACATTTTTACAAGCTGAAGGTCTTTACCGGAACAACCTATATACCCCGAAGGGTAGAGCCAAGGCCATGACTTAGGCTGTTCCATATGAGAAATGGAAAATGGCCCCCAAATTTTTTAGTTTGAGGCTCGATTATACATTGATTTAGTGTTTACCCAATTATATATGGTTTTAACCTTTAGACCAATAATAATGGTTTACCCTAATTATAATGTTTACGCCTTTACTTTGTACGTAGTTTCTTGCGCACATTACAGCTTCATCTGGCATGCTAGGATTTTAATGTTGACGTTGGGATGGAATTTACGGTTTGCAGGATTCACAAACGGGGGTCTGAAGGCGTGTTGTGGAGGTGGAGGGCCGTTTAACTTTAACTCATCGGCGGAATGTGGATGTCCTAACACGAGCGTGTGTGATCAACCGGATACATATGTGAGCTGGGATGGAATACACTTAACGGAGGCTGCATACAGACTGATTTCCGAGAACTTATTTCAGGGGTCATACACCACCCCCCGGTTTAATTCCTTGTGCCCTACGCTTACATCACAAGTTAGGGACAAATTATCGACTTCTATGTAACTAAAGCTATTGGAGTCATATACTAAGGGTCTTCTAAAGAAATATTTTAGATATCGGATAAATAGTTAGGTGACATTTGTCTTTTAAGAGGTGTTGAAGTCTGAAGTCTGATTTTACTTCTGATTTATAAGAGGGGGTCATGAAGTCTGAAATCATCAGTAAGATTGTTTTTACGTCTGAAATCTGAATCGGTCAAACTAGTGTAAAATATAAAAGATAAATAGTTTTCTTACAAAATTATAAAAGATAAATAATTTTTGCTAACAAATCTCTTCCAGCCCTCAAAATATGAACCATTTGATGGAGGGCGGATTAGGATTAAGAGACATTAAGGGATACGTTTACCACTTAAAATTTTAGATGACATTTTGAGCTTTTAAGCTCTTATTTTAGAAATAAAACAAACATTTTTAATATTCAACTCATAGGTATTAAGAGGTAATTTTGAAAAAACAAATAGATCGTTACAGTTTTTGTAGCTATATATATAGAGAGTGCACCAGGTTAATATTACAATAATCAAATAAGAGATTAAGAAAACCGTCGAGTCATCTGTGATTTTAGACTAAGATCACATATGATTCATATGACTTTGGCAGCAACCTGAAGTCGGGAGTCAAGCCGCATGCACACCTTACATCAACCGTTAGTGTAAAATCACATTTGATTTTGCACGTGATTTGATAGTTCTTGTGTTCTCTTATTTGATTATAGTTCTCGTTTTAACCTCCCAGTTATGTAAATTCAAATCAAATATTTTTTGATGGCGAGAAAGCAAAATAATGAATGTTTAAGAATCTTTGTGTATATTCATAATGAATATTTGGCTCTTTATTATTTGATTATCAAAGTATTTACTATTATTAAATGAACGTTTCCTTATTTATGTATAAGTGAATTACATCTTCTCATTTTGTACCAATTTATATGCAAGTATGCTACCTAGGTATAAGAATGAGATCCGTCTCATTTGGGAACCCGGGAACCCATGTGTACTTGTCCTGATCTGCTGATCATGGTCGGGGATGGGAATTACGGTCTGATGGTCCCCACCTCAGTCCCATACCTAATGCTACAGAGTATACAACCGATACTATCTTTGACAACTAACCGACAAACTAATTATCGGTTAGAAAGCTAGTTATTGTTAAGTATTAAATAATCTTAAATATTTTTAGAAATTCACGAACGACCTAAAATATCCAGAATAGAGTGTTCGTTAAAATTACAAGTTAAAAAAAATCAATTTTAAAGGGGCAAATTGCATGAAAAAGTTACGTACTTTGACTTGATTCATATTTTGGGTAAGTACTTTCAGAACTTCCATTTTGTTACCTAAGATGTAAAGTTTTAAACATTTAAGTAACCGGATAACCGTTTGAAAGATTGACTGGTTATCATGCTGATATGACGAGTGATATGGTATCCAACTCATGTTATTTGTTATTCAACTCATTTTCATCCCATCACGCGTCATATTAGCAATAATACCGGTCAATACTTCAACCAGTTATCTGAATATTTAAATGTTTAAACTTTACATCTTAGATGCCAAAATATGATTTTTTCAAAAAAACTCAAAAACAATCTTTACCCAGGGTCCAGAATCCAGACCGAATAAAACCAACCTTACCCTTCTCACATCATAACATCCCTCGCTGCTCCGTTCCCAAACATAATGCCAGTATTAACTGTGCCATATCCTCATCTGGGTTTCTTTCCTTTCGATCAAAATGCAGTCACGCCTTCAAATTATACCCAACGGTTGTATTTTCCCTCTAGGTTTCAGACAATTGTTCTTGATGTTACCGGAAAACGGAGAAGAATCGGAAAGATTGTTGTGTTGAGAGCACAGTCAGGTATGGTGATTGAGAAACAACAGGAATTCAAGCCTTCATTTGACGAGTATTTGAAAGCCATGGAGACTGTTAAAACTCGTCGGGAAAAGCGCAGCGCCTCCACCGGAACTCCGCCATCACCCCCACCTAAAATTGATGAAGGGACTGTTGATTTGAGTGATACCGAAGAGCAAATTAGTGTTCAAAAAGTGGTGAATTTGAAGCAAGATGAAGTTAAGAAGACATGGATTCGAACGAAATTGGATTCTAGAGAAGCTCGATCGGGTGCAAGTGCAAGGGTGAAAGATACTAATATAGTTGGAAAAAATGCCCAAAAATACGTTAAATTTCAAGGGTATGTGAAGGATGCTGCCGTAGATCAAGGAAGAGTTCTCCAGGTGAAGAAACTAAGTGGGAGTGGTGCAATTGACCAGCCAAGCGTGTTGCTGAATTCAAATCAAGGTGAAATTATGAAGATTTGGACTAGAAAGAATTCAGATTCTAAAAGGGTCAAAGCTATGGATACCAATGGCTTTAAGAATTTGGATTCTAAAAGGGTCAAAGCTACGGATACCAATGGCTTTCAAGAAACTGAAACAAGGCAGGCTAAATTTCAAGAAAAGAGCTTTAATATGAAGTGGGGTTCAGAAGTAAGGTCTGTAAGAAATGGAAGTTATAAGATGGATGCTGTTGTAGATAAAGAAAGAGTTGTCCATGTGAAGAAACTGAGTGGGAAAAGTGATCAAGTGGTTAAGTATGATAATTATGATAGTATGGAGGTAGAAAGAGCTGCTTTTAAATCACTTGAGGAGTTTCAGGATGTTTGTGACCAGCCACGGGTCTCGCGAGTCGATATGGAGGAGAGAATCCAGAGGTTAGCAAAGTGGTAAGTAATACGGACTCATGATAACTAGGATTGGTTGATTTTTATGCAGTTTTGAATAAGTGTGGTTTATAGCGATGATTGGAAGTCTTAGTTTAGAACTTGTATGTATTTCCAAGCAAATAGATACGAATCAGCTTAATGCGACTCATAGCTTATTCTGTGAGGTATACATGACTGTGTGATAGTGGCCTAATGATATAGAAAATGACTTATTCAGTAAGCTTCTAGCAAGGAACTTTATGCAGAAAGCCAATTTTTTTTTGCTAAACCTTCCCCTCAATTAAAAAACAAGCACCTTCCCTCTACTAAAAACCATTCCGAACAAAAACCTTCCTGATCTGTAAAGACAGATTAATCCACACATACATCTTTATCTATATTGGACTTAATGGAAAACCAACCAAACAACCCTTAAAGTATTGATGCACGTTCATTTGGTTGGTATGCAATCAAAGGATTAACTGAAAGGCAGAGTGCATCGGTTATTTCTGTGTCTGTATGCAATCAACGGATTGACTGAAAGGTGGGCAAGGGCTAACCAGCCACTTAAAGGCAAGGGTCTCATTCATATGATGATATGAGCACTCCGATTACATGACATTTGTATCCATTTCAATCTTTTTCAACACGTCCACGTAAAATCTGGTTTTATGTCTACTGTACAATACTTCAGTAATTTGTATGTGGCTAGGTGCAACTAATTTATACAATACCAATATATCATGTCCATCAAGAGGGGGGTCAACACCAATGCATTCCAATATCTTCATGTGTACTAATCAATCTCGTGGACTTGCTAATTCGTCACAGTTACGTTTATATTTATATTTTTATATTTTTGAAGAGGGGTTGGAAAATTGAACTAGTGTTCTGCCATGGGGTATTCCTCAAACCCCTTTCTTTAGATATTCCCTGATAAAGTATTTTAACTTGACAGTTTAAATGGTGCATCGATCGACACTCCTGAGTGGAATTTCTCTAAGATGATGAGAAGTGCGAAAATCAGATTTGCAGATTTTTCAATGATAAGGCTTATCCAGATCTTAGGAAATTATGGCAACTGGAGGCAAGTGCTTCAAGTCATCGAGTGGATGCAATCGCGAGAACGCTTCAAGTCTAACAGGATAAGGTTTGATTTTTGGTGCTTTAATTTATAAGTGTTCCCATTTCTTATTGATGCATACCTTATTGGTTATTTATAAGTTTCCCCTTCTAGTCCTAACTTCCCAAATCAATATATTTGCAATTTAGAAACATTTACACTGCGGCACTTGATGCACTTGGGAAGGCAAGAAGACCGGTGGAAGCACTAAACGTGTTCCACACAATGCAGGTAACTTGATTCTTAGAGAATTTTAACGTTTGAAATGGATAGTTCACGAAGACGTGGGCCCTTCAATTCCCGACTTCTACTTCTTAGTCTTTTTCTCCTTTTGCAGCAACATATGCCTTCTTATCCAGATCTTGTAGCTTATCGTTGCATAGCTGTCACCCTTGGACAAGCAGGTCATATGCGGGAACTTTTTCATGTGATTGATAGCATGAGATCTCCTCCCAAAAAGAAGTTCCCCACGGGTGTTCTTAAAAAATGGGACCCACGACTAGAACCAGATATGATAGTCTATAATGCTGTGAGTGTCTTCATTTCTCAGAATTGCCATTCGAATTTTACTTTTTGCATTCTATTCATCTGTCGATGGTATTTGTGAAAATAAAAGATAAATGTTTCGGCTGGTTAAGGAAGGTTCAAGTTTTCAAGTATTTATTGTATTTGTGCATACTTGTGCTTGTAGGTGTTAAATGCGTGTGTACGCCAAAAAAGTTTAGAAGGCGCGTTCTGGGTATTCCAGCAGTTAAAGCAACAGGGCCAAAAACCTAATAGCATAACATACGGACTTGTAATGGAGGTATTATGTTGCTCATTACCAAGTTGGAACTCAGTAGCCTTGAGTTAACTCGTGTTTGCTTTGTGCAGGTAATGCTTGAATGTGAAAAGTATAATCTGGTACACGAGTTTTTCAAAAAAATGCAGAAATCTTTTATTCCAAATTCTTTAACTTACAAAGGTACGTCATCAGGGATTATTTATTTTTCTTCCATTTGCATGATTCAATGATGTATGACACATTTTAAGTTCTGTTTGCAGTTCTTGTAAATACGTTTTGGAGGGAAGGAAAAGTTGACGAGGCCATTCTGGCTGTTGAAGATATGGAAAGACGGGGAGTAGTTGGTTCTGCAGGACTTTATTATGATCTTGCTAGATGCCTTTGTAGTGCGGGAAGATGCGAGGAGGCTCTTGTGCAAGTAAAGGCTATTTATTTTTTGATGCATTAGAAAATGAAACCATTCGAGTTTTTTATTCATATGAATCAATTCAAGGATGGTATTGCATTATTATTGCACATAATAGGATATTGGGTTTGATTACTACTTCCTCGTTCTCAAAATAACTGTCCACGACGAAAAAGGCACATAGTTTTAAAATGTGTATTATAATTATTACACTTTTTAATTAACTAAATGATAATTTTACCCACAATGATAGAGGGAGTATGAATTTCTTGATCTCATGATTAAGGGTAAAATAGAAAGTAGACCTTTACTTTTGAAAAATGACACTTATTTTGGGACGGAGGGAGTATTATTTTGTTTTATCGGTCAAGGCCACTGGTATATGCTATAAGTGCATATTTAGGGTTCTACCATCAAGCAACTCTTTGAACCTTAAATATTTGCATGGTATGATTGGTGAGGGGGTATACGCTATCCTCTGGAGCGGCCCCACTGCACCAGTCTCACGGCCATCATGGGGGAGGAAAGATCCATCAAAAGGTGGTGCCTGGGTTTGAACCCTGGACCTCCTTTCTTGATGCCCACCATCCTACTGTTGATATAATGGATAAGATTCTATTATTGAAAAACCTAGTCACCTATGACATTACCCACCATCCTTTCTTGAATGTGATTATGCATTTTACGTATAGAGCTTATTAACTAGGGAAATACTAAAGTTACTAGCTAGTTAACCTTAAATAGCACGAATTCAACTGGTTATTGTGTTGATTTGCTACTTTCTACTTGAGACGTTACAGATAGTATCATAGCAGTGGCCCATGATGTATAGTGGATTAAGCTCATGCATCTCCTGAGAATATTGGTTTTGGTGTAGGCCCGACGAGGATGTTAGGGATTTAATTGAGAGATACTGTGACATCCCGTCCCACATAGCGATTTATAAACTCCTTGGGAGTCCTAGATTGTGGGATACCAATGGCTTTCACCATGGATTTAAGTACATATATATATATATGTATATATATATATATATATATATATATATATATATTAAACTATATATATGGTTTGCGGTGAGAATGGGAGTTATGGTGAGAAGGGTAAGAAGACCACCCTTGGATCAATCCTAATTGAAGAGTTCCACTAGATCAATACTAATGAGAAGCACTCGATCAATTCCCTTCTAAAGCACAATTCATGGGTTGGTTTGAGATTGAAAGTGATCAAGGGTCCAAATCCGTTCTTACACTTCTCACCTTACTCTTATTCTCACACAATCCCTTGTCTATATATATATAGAGGGAGGTTCAAACATGAACATTAACTAAATAAGAGATTAAGAAAGGGTGCCAATGAGAACATTAATGTTCAAATGAGAACATTAACTGGAAGTTTCAAGATCATATGTGATTACAGTGCAAGATCGCATGTGATACATGATGTCCAAAAGGACGCCGGCTTGTGACCAAGGGTCACGGGAAAGCTTGCCCGCTCTATGGTCAGTCGACAACACATGTTTGTATCAAGTGATTATGTGTTTTATATCGCATGTCATTACATGTGATCTTGGAACTTCTCATTTTCTCGAAAATTGACCATCTTCTCATTTGATCTCAACCCTCTCTCTCTATATCGTTGTAAATTATTATCAGTATTGATTTTGGTCCACAAGATTCCTACGGTATCATCATTTAAGCATATCTGAGATACCCGACCAATGATCAAACTTTATATTCATGATGTGTAATTTTTATGTTTTTACATTTCCTGCACAGATTGAAAAGGTATGCAAGGTAGCAAATAAACCTCTGGTGGTGACTTATACCGGGTTAATTCAAGCTAGTTTGGACTCTGGCAAAATCAAAAGCGGAATCTACATATTCAATCACATGCACAAGTTTTGCTTCCCAAACTTAGTTACATATAATGTTATGCTCAAAGGGTATCTTGATCACCATCTGTTTGAAGAAGCAAGAGAGTTGTTCCATAAATTATTGGAGAAGAGGGGACATGTTACAAGTTCAGCCGATTACAGGCACACGGTGTTACCAGATATTTATACTTTCAACTTGATGTTAGACGCCTGTTTGGTGAATCAACGATGGGATGATCTCGAGTTTTTCTACACACGGATGCTGCAACATGGATACTACTTCAATACAAAACGACATTGTCGAATGATACTGGAAGCCTCCAAGGCTGGAAAGGTAGTATTTTTCTCTTTGGCACCATTTCTTTAATCTTTGGTTGCGCCAAATATGTCTAAATGTCCTAATAGACTGCTTTATAGAACTTACGTTTATAGGACGAAACAATCGTGTGTCATATGTAAAGATGTTACAAAAGTTGATAAGACGTTTTTGATTCATTTTGTGTGTATATGCACAGGTGAATCTATTGGAAACAACCTGGAAGCAGTTGATTGAAGGTAATCAAGTTCCACCACCACTTTTAGTTCAAGAAATGTTTTGCATGAACCTGAAGCAAGAAGACTATGCTTCTGCTTTCTCCTGTTTAATCTGTCTTCCGTCAACGGAATCACATAAATATTCCCGGAACTCGTGGTTGCATCGTTTCAACGACGATCCCCACCTTTTCCGGGAGGAAACGCTTCTCCAACTGATCGATAAGATCACCATTTTGTCGATTAGAAACGAAGAACCGAATACAATATTTTTGAATTTGTTGAAATCTTGTAAAGAATTCCTAGCTATCCAATATTAGAAATACCTTGGTAATTTGTATGCTAATGGAATGGGTGTGTTTAGCATATTTAGGGGCTGTTTGTTTGCCTCTTAATGGTGCTATTAAGAGGTTATGTCTGAATCATTAAGAGGCTGAGGTTGTTGGGCAAAAAAAAACCAACCTCTTAATGATGACAATAGCCTCTTTATGATTTTTCATGTAGGGCTTTGCTAAATTACTGATGGACGTCTTTATCAGAATATTTTTGCTTCAGTTCGGGCAATGATTGTTGGACCTTTGTTCTTCGCTAGCACTCGGTTTAGGGCGGGAAGGTAGAAGTATGGAAGTACATCTTCACTCAATTATATTTTAGAAATTATGTTAATCTTAAAATGCAACCAAATTAAAAGGTACAACTGTTACAACATAATTTTGATCTTCATTCTTTTGATCAACGGTTAGGATTTTTTGAAAATTCAAAGTACCGGCCATCGCCGGTAAATCCACAACCACCAGCCATCTCCATCTCCATCCCTTTTTCTCTTAAAAAATGTCGAAATTGAATTACTTCGTTTTAAATAAATTATGAAAAATCTGGTTTCATACAATTACAGATAAAAATATAGTTTACGTTGACTTATTTTAAAAAATAAGTCACGTGAGAGCATTTTCAACAAATTCTCCAAAATGCAATAAAGCAGAGGTTTTTTTGTTGGTATTTTTAACTAAATTTTGCTACAACAGATTTAACAAACTCTTTTCGAAAATGGAAAAAGTAAGACAATAGGTGAAATCGTCCAAATTCAAGTAGTTACCAAAAAGTAGTTAGTAAGAGGGAAATAATATTTTATTAAATTTTTATTGATAATAAACTTTAAAATTAAATGTTTATGAAAGAAATAATGTTTTATTATATACATAATATTTTAATAATATATTTAATATTATAATATTTAAAATAAAGAAATTTTTTATGTTAAAATGGTTTTTGAAGATTTTAGATTTTGTTCGAACAAAATAGAGTTACGGGTCGGGTACCAGAATAAAGCCCAATATCCATATTGGGCGGGTCTTTTTCTAGGGCTCAGGTGGTTGATATGTCCACTGTCACTACATCGGCTGTCCATCGGAGCTCGACGAAAACGAAATGGGGAGGAGGATATTGAACGACGCTTTGAGGACCATGGTTAACGCCGAGAAGAGAGGGTTTGCATCGGCTCAGCTTCAACCTATCTCCAATGTCATCTCTTCCTTTCTCAGCATCATGAAACACCGAGGTAGGTACCCTTCATTTTTCTCCTACATCTTGTTATTTCAAATTGAAAGACTTGTTGGGTCTGTAATCAGAATTCTAAGCATCTGAACTTGATGGACTTGCAATTAGGGTTTTTAGACTGGTCTCTGAGTTATTTCAGATTGCTGTAATTAAGTCTATGTGTTTGCAATTTATCGGTAGACATTATGTTGGTATTAGTTTGGATGATATGCTTGTTGTTGTTGTTTTTACTTTATGGTGAAGGAATAACATGGTCATTCTATAATTTTGATTACTTGTCATCAAAGAGCATATCAATTAGCCTCATTGGAGGATCTGCTCTTTGTGGGTGATATAGGACCACATTATAGGTTGATAAAGTATGTTACTATATTGAAGTTGTATGTACTAATGTAAACTACAGAGCTAAAGTCTAACTGAACTCAAGTTCCCAATCTGTTTCATGTCACCAAATGGACCATCGAATAGGTTTGCGAATATGATTCTGAATCAAGGAAGGAAATTGCTTTCTTTTAAGTTCTCTGGTACTATCCATGGTGTTTGCTGGAATATGACATAAAATTTTAAATCTGTGACCTTGTATTCACTGTTCAACAAGTTGCCATATGTCTATTTGAGGATGGGGATGATAGATGGAAATGCTTCTAAGAGGTGCAAAGGTGCAAAAGAACTTGTACAAACTTAATTATATTGCAACCAGAACCTGCTCAGCAGTTGAATTACAGAAAGCTACGATTGTGTGAAGGTTAAGGATGGTATTATGAAGAATCTTGGGATTTATATTACAAGGAAGTAATATTTGAGTGAAAATGAGCAATGGGTTTGTTTATTTTGGTTTCTGTTTCTTGCTACGCTGTGAGTGTGTGGAGGTTTCATCCTCTGCGGGGAGGTTTGAATTATATTGTTGTTCTTCAACCATGAATAATCATGCCATTATCTATGTTTGGTGCCAGACATTTATCCTTGTTTTGCTTTCCAGTGTCCAACTGTTCCTGCTTTCACCATAGTTGGACTCAAAGGGTAATTGTTCCCGCATTTACGCCATCCAACATGGTGGCATTTCTGATAATAACTTTAGTCTCAACTTTTATCAAGTCATTCCTTCTCATGTGGGCATTCGACTATTTGAGTTTTGTCTGTGTCTTTGTTTATATCGACAACTAGATTCTCTCTGTTGTGGGGTAAGCTTCAAATGTTGAAACTATAGAAAAGTCAAGCCCATATGTCGACATGTCGTGCAAAATGATGAAATAATGGCTAATGGCTGTCCAATCATCACGACGCACCTTGGTGCGTCCACAGGAACCAGTCTATTTACCATTTGATATGTCAATAGGATCTGCTTCATATGCTTGCACTTCTTTTCTGGAAACACCAATACATGATGAGACATTTGGTATAATATAGTTATGAAATCATGATTTTGGTGATTACATATAATTACATGAAGTGATAAGTATCACATTCTCACATATTCGTCAATTGGTGCTGCATTGATCATTATGAGGTTATAAGTATATAAATCTTTGCTACATCCACCTCTTGTTCTAGAATTTGGCAGTGCATTTTCAATTTTGTTATCATAGACAGTGTTATTGAGTTCTAAAAGTAGTTGAATGTCCTTGCACACATATATCGTGCTACTATTTTTTTGCTTTGAATTCCAGGGTATGTCAAAAATTTTGAAGTGTATGATCCTCACAGAGTGGGAAAGATAAAAGTCGAACTTCTGGGAAGGATTAAAGATTGTCGAGCTATTACATATAGACAAGACATCAAAGCTCACGAGATAGAGAATTATAGACTACGCACCCTTCCAACACAGCAGGTTTACCATCCATAACCTCTCATGTCATGTATAAGTTATTATTCTTGAAATCTGTTCAATATTTGTTGTCAAACATTTTCATGTGAATTGTTCTAATATGACTCTATTTACCCATGATCAAGAAATGTAGTTAACGGTGCCTGTGTATTCATAAAAGATTTAGCTTTATAGGATTGATTTAGCTCTACTTTGAAGGCAACCTTTTCGGGTTAGATTTATTTGGAGAAAAACTTGTTTATTACAAACTATATCCATAAGAATAGATAACATATGTGTTTACTTTTTAGAGGTTATGAGTTCAAACCCCTTCTAGATTGAATTTTCATGTCATTTTTGCTAGTAGTGTATCGGAAAGGATACTGTCATCTATTCACGGGTTGAGTTTACATTGTTCTTTTTAACGATTGATGCAGTGGGGATATGTGGTGATAACGACCCCAAATGGTGTATTGGACCATGAAGAGGCAATTCGGCAGAACGTTGGTGGTCAGGTTTTGGGCTACTTTTACTGAGCAATTAATCATCTGTATGATCAGATGTTCATTTCCCCTTTGCTTGTAGAACCAGCTGAGGTAAGATAGATCTTGAAGTTGCAACTAGACATTGGTGCCATTTTTCAGTCCGTATTGAGTTGAAGGTAAGAATTAATCCGTAAATGAATTGGATTTTGCATGAATGTTTTGTCTAGTGATATTTCATTTGTGGAAATAGAAAGATTTACAGGGAGATATATGAACAAATCAATGTGTTTTGATAATAAGTGCTAAGAACCAACAAACTGAAACAAGTGTGAATGAAGATCCATCAAACCCTGGTTGCAATTTGCAGCTAATTCAGAGGTACCCAACTTATTGGACTCACAACTTATTTAGTCAACTATACATGATTGTTTGATAGTGGCTTATTCGGTAAGCTTCTAGGGGGAACTTTTATGCAAAAAGTCAAGTTTTTCCGAACCTGTCTCTCATAAAAATGAGTAGTGGTTTGCAACTTTTACGAGAAGGTAGACAATAGAACAAAAAAGTCATTGGATTACCTTCACCCAAGACCTCCAAACCTAATAGGGAAATGTGGGGATGTTGATTTTGGGTCTCTCGTAAGAGGGATGACTAGCGTTCGTGTTGCACATCAGAAAAATGAAGAAGTCGGGCATGATCCTTTTGTTTTCAACATACGTTCTTTTCAAGCAGAATGTTGCAATTAACAAGTTAATACATCTTTATTGGAATCGGGTGAACCTCTCGAGATAGCATTGAGATCATCGTATGTGAAGAGCTAAAGCGTTAAAAGTTATTAATGTTTGTTTAGCGTTATGCAGGTAGAGTTAAGTTTAACAGAAAATGTGACCGAGGATGAGAAACTATTACAGATAAATTATTATTTTTTGCATGAGCGGGATGATGTTCTTAAAAGTAATCGAACCATCGTTAGGATAGAAGACATGTAAAGGAGCTATCAAAATGATTGCGTTTGGTTCAGTCAGAGGAATGAAAATGACAGGTTTAACCTGAAATCAAAATTTGGACTTCCAGGGAAATGGTCCATTGTATTATCTAAAAGCAAACAGTTACTTTTATTTTCATGCTCATTGGTTACTGTCTAATACCTCTAGGTCTCTAAGGTTCTAACCAAACATCCTCTTAGTTGTTTAAGGGGTGTTTGGGATTGCCTATAAAAACAACTTATTGACTTATTCCGGTGTGACACCGGTAATAAGCATTTTTGAGTGTTCGGATAAACAACTTATACCGGTGTCAAACCGGTAATAAGGAGTTTTGAAAGAAGTTAAACCATTCTGATAATAGGTTGATAAGTGTTTTTGTAGAAAAGTATAAGTTGTTTCAAATAAGCAATCCCAAAGACCCTCTTAGAATTGGTGGATATAATCAAGCATAGTTTGTATTTAAGAGTGGGGTTATTTTGTGAAGGATTTGAAAGTTGAATGATATTGTTAAGAAACTTGTAACATTGAGCATATTTTTTATATTTAGGGCAACACTTGGCATAAAAACTCAAATTTCCTTTTAGTAATACTAGTTGTGTACCCGTGCAATACGGCGGGAGCCATGAATTTTAACGATTTTGAAGTTCCACTGGTTTTATAAGATAAGATTTAACGATGATATAGGTTACACTTGATCTTTACATATTAATACAATTT